ATATATCCCACCCACTTACAGGAGCCATGGTAACCAATTAATCAGTGTTATTTACTACACCTGTCAGTGCTCACAATGTTATAATGTTATGGCTGTTCATTTGGTTTGTCCATTCTGGGCTACTGTAGAATGGCGGTTAAACATGGTGAACTCCATGGAAGGCATCTGTTTATAAATTAACTGCATATTTTAAGTAAATAAAAACATGATTCTTAATTTTCCAGTTCAATTTTCACTTTCTACAGCAATTTCAGTGCAGAACAATGCCTAAAAACATTGCAACATGCATCACAATTGAAATAACTGAAAACTGCATTTTAGGCTGCAATGATATAAAAAAAAAAGTCAGTGAAATCCTGGACGGAGTGCAAAACAAATCCAGCATGGAACCAACATGGACATTCGATTCAGCTTGGATGAGACATGCTAGATGTGCTCAGAATCGTAAGACGTTCAGGATTCTACAGTTCCATGACAACTGAGCAAATTCAATCAGTCAATGATATTTTGCCAAAGGCCTGGAGAAGTAAACATTACCTTTAAATGTAAATGTCATTACTTTATTTAATTTTACAGTATATATAGCATTTAAAGCATTTTACATACATGAAATGAAATTTGTTCTCTGCATTTGACCCATCCTATATACATTACTGTATACACTAGGAGCAGGGAGCAGTTAAGGGTTAGGTGCCTTGCTCGTGCACAAGAGGTGGAACTGGCCTAACTAACCCTAACCTCTCCAGCTGTCAGTCCACACTCCATAACACTTCTGGTTGTCACAGGAGAACTTTGTGAAAGAGCAGAATCCATGAGAAAGAAGAGCTGAGAGGGACACTGATCCACAGAATGTGGGAATCCATCTTCATGATATTTATGTGAGTGAGAGAAAGTAAAGGAAAATATGTTTGTCTTCCTCTTGTGGCCATTTGTGGAACTTCACATAACTGTTACACCTTTCTCTATGTAATTCTCCTTTGTAACACTGGGGGGCACCAAACACTGAAGTAATATCACAGAGTGCTACTGATCCAGTTTTAGAGGGCCAGAAAGAGACGCTCTGTTACAGTGGTTCCAACCTTTTTATTTAAAGGTCCAGTGTGTAACATTTAGGAGGATCTGTTGGCACAAATGGAATATTATATTAAGGTCTTCAAACGGACGATTTGGGTGAATTTTGAGCAGATTATTTCCAGAAAATGATATGCAAGTTTTTACCTGATGTTGTATACAATTCTATCTGTACTATGTTTTGTTTTTAATAGTCAAACATACTTAATAGGCTTCTTTTAGAACAAATTCAGATACTTTTCTAATTTCTTTGGAGGACAATCCTCGATCAGATCTATGAATTTTGAAGTCAGATCTCCAAAGTAAAAAGGAAAAAGCTCAGAGGAAAAGAAGTGTCTTCTTTTAATTATGGAGTTAGAAGACTGATTGGGTTCCATCCTCGATCAAATCTGTGAATTTTGAAGTTGGATGTTCAAAGAGTTAGGCTCAGTGGATTTTCTGCTCCAGTGCCCACAGTGAGGACTTTAAAATGTCTGGAGAGAAGGTTCCAGTGTGAAAGGGACGCCAAGGCGCAGTGGGTTACGATCTTGGCCGTATGGCCCGAGAGGAACATCTATTCCAACTCTCATGTCCCAGAGGATCTCACAGCCTCCTTACTGCCATCTGAACCTCCCGTCCATCAGGCCTGTTTGACACGTTGACAGGATGTGTTCCAGGTGGCTGGTCTCCCACACAGCGAACAACAGGGATTCTCAGTCCCTTTGAAGTTTTGTTGGTGTTGTTAGGACATCATAGACACAACAGAAACGTGATCCGTTATAGATTAGACCAGTGCTTCCTAAGATTTTTCCTTCAGGGACCCCTTTTCTATCATTGAGTAAACTGATGATCCCTGCTCTATGACATAGTTTAGATTTTATATTATATTTAAAACTGTACAATGAACCCAACCAGTGAACTCAGTAACAGCAGGACGTTTGTGTAAAACCAGAGATTTGGTTGAACTTTGAGCAGATTATTTCCTGTTTAGGGAACTTTTTAAACAGTTCTCTGTCTGTATGATGTATTTTAATCATACAGACTTGATGGGCTTCTTCAATGACGCATTTAGTCTTTCCTTGCCTCTGATGCTGTAAAAAAATATAAATACATTTTATTTTTTGATATTGTATTGATTCTCAAAACACTAAAGCTTTCTGTGGTTAGACCCCCAACCGCTATAGCAGTGTTGTAAATGTAAACTGAGGGCTGTGATGTTGGATGTTTCAGATTGTATGCATATGGTGGGGTCTTTATACTATACTACTACAGTTTTTCTAATTATTATTATTTTTTTTTAAATCGCAATATATCGGCTTGCTTACAGTTTGTCAATATAGCACAATATGTTAAATCAGAACCCCTGACCCCTGTTTCTCTAGCGTGGGAGAAGCAGTGATTTTTAAGGTGGAACTGCTTTATTCATTGTTTTTAGTGGTTTTAATCAGCGGGTCTGTTTGTTCTGGAGAGGGAATATACCTCTGTGGATAACTGGGCTCCCGGTAGAAACCTCCTGGAACCATGAACACTGAAGGAATCCTAACCAGGAGAAGCTGACTGCAGTGACGGCAATGGTGGTGAAGACAACAACTCCCATGATCCCACACTACTTCAACTTCCTCTTTTGTTATTGTTTTGATGTGAGAGGCCCCCTAGTGGCAGCAATTACGTATTTAAAATCCCCTGATGAGAAGTGAAACTGGAGAAAAGCTGGGAACCGTGTTTAAAGCCAGAAGGAAAGGTGGGATCAGACTGATCGATTGAACGTGAGCGGGTGACTTCCTCCCATGGATTTCTGACATGTGACTGCAGCATGTGCCGTGTGGAGGCAAACACACTGTCTGCAGGCTGGCGAGGGAATATGCATGCGTGAGGTCATCATACACACAAGCACATGCTTCACATCACCATGGAAACAAGCATCTTCTCACGGAGGACGGATTCTTTTTTCCACTGAGGCCTCCGGGTTTGGCAGGGGAGAGATGTCAAATGAGGAATTTCATTCTAAAAGGAGAGATTCAAAAACAGAGCCTCCCACTCTCACAATATGATTCATACCGATACACAACCGCACCAATCCCTTTACACTATACAACAATAACACATATAGATATACACAGTGCATGCAGCGGTGGATACAGTATGGGATATTGTTTGTTTGCAGCACACAGTGAAAAATGACATTTAAAGAATTTAAAAGCAGCATTACTTTTTCATGATCAATGTCCTCATTACTCTGTTAGCACACTGTCAGCTAACAAGGGCTGCAACAAACAATTATTTTAATTATTGATCTATCTGGCTAGGATTTTTATCAATTAACTGATTAAATGCTTTGTCTACTGATCTGAATCAGGTTTACTGCCAAGTTCAAATAAAAGGAATCTGCCTTGGTGCATATCAATTCACAGAGTGAGAGAGAAGCACAAATAAAAATGAATGAAGAGTACTGCCGTCAATAAACTGTTAAAAGCTGAAAAATGCACACCAAATGTCAATAAAAACAGGAGAAAGGAAATATCGATAAGAAGTATAGATGGAAGTGTATTCAATATGAAAAATGGAAATATGTGTTGATCTATTGATGTATGATCTATTTTAAAATTCTAATTCTGCTAAATAATCCAGATTTTTACTAAATGTAACTAATCTGATTACTTATTTTTTCTGTAGCTAAAATGGATTACAGTTACCTTTTTGTGTCTTGATTACATAACTCTATAACTAAAGTTACCTGTAATCTATTACTCAACATTATTATTATTAACACCATATGGAATAATCCTATTAAGACAATGCAAAGAGACTAGTTACCTACTGCAGCTTTAAGTAAAGGATTTTATACTTTTATACTTTTCTGCACAGTTTGTCATGCCAACAGGAGAGAGCCATATTAGTGATTTATAGGTAACTAAGACTGGCCTTCCATATTAACTCACACTCACCTGTCCACGCTGTCCACTGTGGGAGCTCTCCTGGTGTGTGTTGCGGTGGAAAGGTTGTAGTCAGTTTAGTTTGTGTTCCACCACAGTGCTGGTATAAAACGGTCCTCTTGCATGGTTTTTATGATGATGAGATGTTTGCATCTT